AACAATGTCCAGATTTTAAAAAACTGATCATTTTCAACTCAAGCAGTAGTCATATTAAATTTAAGAAATGTGTAAAAACTGTGTTTAATTAACATTCAAATTCAAGATGAGTCAGTGGTCATTCTGAGCAGTTTTATCATGTACATGGACAATTCATTATTTGGAAGTATTTTATATACCTTAAAAACTAAATCACAGATATATTGGTGTCTTGTTCACACAAGCTTTCAAAATATTTGCCCGTCTTTTTAAATAGCTGTAGTCATGTGCCTATTAACCTTTTTGTAAAATAGGTCAAAATATAAAAAGCAGACTGAAATATTTGGAAAATATAGCTGTGAAGGTGAGGAGGTCACACATGCTTAACATATTTATAGCAAGTGGGTATACCATATCAAGTATAACATACACTCAGCCTCTTATGCCCAATTTTAACTTACATGAGTTTAAAATTAGAAATAACTACGGCAATCTCTGAAGAATTTCTAAAAACTCAGTTTGTTTACAGAGCTTTTACTTTATCACCGGTGATGCTTAATTTATTTTTTTCAGATTCCGAAGGACCAATACTAGCATTTATCATCAGCAGATACATTTCTAAGTGTTTAGAATAATGGATCAGGTGAAATATTTATTTATCAGAGTGCCTAATTATGATTGCTCAGCAATTTAATAATTGCCATTTATGTTTCTAATAAAAGTGTAATGTAAGTAACAAAAAAAGTTAGTTCTTTAATCACATGGTAAATAAGCTTGGACTGTACCCTAAAATTCTGATGAATATTTCTAGTGATTTGCGATAAGGAAGTGATGTTCTTAACCAAGTTTTTTTTTATCAAGTGGAAATTGTATTTGTCTGCCACCTGGGGGATTCATGGGAACATTGCAAGTGGCAAATTTCATAGTAATATTACAATGTACCTGTTAATAGTATTTTATTTGTCTTTTGAGTGATATTGGCTGATGTGTATATTATATCCATGTATATCATATATATAAAATTGTGGCCAATGAGGTGGTGACAAACCAAGAAATGCGTATTCTGGATGTCAAGTAACAAAAATGTTTCCAGAAGAAGAGAATGATCAGCTTCATCACCGCTGGTAGATCAAATAAGATGAAGAGGACTGGAGAACTGACCATTGCATTTGGCAACTGAAAGGTCATAGGCAATCAGAACAAGAGCTGCTCCTGGATGTTTTATGGTTTTGATTGTTATTATGAGCATATCTTTTCATTTATGACATTTTTCTAATTCATTATTGCTAGAGTAGAGGGGACTAAAACTTTTTATAAGTGGATCTTTTATTTGGCCACCTTACTGGATTTTACTATTATTTCTAATAGTTTGTCAATTGATTTACTTGTATTATTCTAGGTAGAAAATCATATTGTTTAAAAAAATCATATTTTTGAAACCACCCAAAATTTATACTTCATTTGGCATTAGCTGGGACCTCCAGTGCAGTGTAGTAGTAGAAGTGAAAGTGGCCATTACTGTAATTTAAACTGATTTGCTGTGGATTTCTGGGAAATAATTTTTAGCAGAGAATTTTCCTTTTATTCCTAGTTAGAGATTTTCCTTTTCTTAAATCATAAATGTGTGTAGAATTTTATCAAATACTTTAAATAAATATCAGATGATAAATTTTCTTTAATTGCTAATACGACAATGTATTTAATAGATATCCTAATGTTAATCCATCTTTATGGATAAATCTAACTATCCTGTATTTTATAGCTTGGTGCTGTTTTTAATTTGTTGATTTTGGTTTTGGACTCTTCCAATTTTGTTCATTAGTACAATTGGCCTGAGGATTAATTATAAAATGCCAACCTTGTACAATTTTGGTATAGAATGATTTGCAACTCTAAAATGATGTTGGCAGTTAATGAAAGAAATGAACTAAATAAATTCTAAAAATGTTAAATAAGAATTATAATACATGACAAATTCCCAAGCTCTAGTGATGATTTATACATTTCAAGTGACAGCTAAAACAAAATTTTGATTGTGCTTTAATTTTTATTTTTCAATTACAGTTGACATTCGATATTATTTTATATCAGTTTCAAGTGTATTGTATAGTGGTTAGACATTTATATAATTTATGAAGTGATTCCCCCAATTAGTCTAGTACCCACCTGGCACTACACATAGCTATTACAATATTATTGACTGTATTTCCTATGCTGTACTTTAGATCCTTGTGACTATTTTGTAATTATCACCTTAATTCTTCCTTTTTCACCCAGCCCCCTAACCCTCCTCCCATCTGCAATCACCAGTTTGTTCTCTGTATCTACGAGTCTGTTTTTATTTTATTTTGTTTCTTAGATTCCACATGTAAGTGAAATCATATATTTGTCTTTCTCTGTCTGACTTATTTCACTTAGCATAATACCCTCTAGGTCCATCCATGTTGTTGCAAATGGTTAAGATTTTGGGTTTTTTTATGGCTGAGTAATATTCTATTGTATATATGTACAACTTCTTTATCCAATCGTCTATTGATGGGACTTAGGTTGCTTCCACATTTTGTCTATTGTACATAGAGCTGCAGTGAACATAGGGGATGTTTTGGTTTTCTTTGGATAAATACCCAGAAGTGGAATTGCTGGGTCATAAGGTAGTTCTATTTTTAATTTTTTGAGGAACCTCCAAACTGTTTTTCATAGTGGCTGTACCAATTTGTGATCCCACCAACTGTGCACGAGGATTCTCTTTTCTCCACATCCTTGTCAATGCTTGATTTTTTGATTATTGGTAATATCCATTCTGATAGGTGTGAGGAGATATCTCACTTGTGGTTTTAATTAGCATGTCTCTGATGATTAGCACTGAGCATTTTTTCGTATGTCTATTGGCTCTGTATGTCATCTTCCTTACAGAAATGTCTATTCAGGTCCTTGGCCCATTTTTTAATTGGATTGTTTGGGTTTTTTGGTGTTGCATTATATGAGGTCTTTATAAATTTTGGATATTAACCCTTTATTAGATGTATCATTGACAAATATCATCAAGCTTCTCCCATTCAGTAATTGTCTTTTCGTTTTGTGGAGGGTAAACTTTTGATTGCTTTTTAATTCACTCAAAAGTACCCACTGGATTCAAGCCACTTGGAAAGTGAATTATTAACATAACTAATATCCATAAGAACCTGTACTGTGTTTGGCTTGATGCTAAGATACATAGCCGCTAAGATGACCCTTAATGACCGCCACTTCCTTAATGAATCAAATACGGCATAAGTTATGAGGTTACTTCTGATCTTAGGTTATAAAAAGACAGTGGTTTCTGTTGTGCATTCTCTCTCTCTCTCTCTCTCTTTTGGACTGCCATATTGTCAGACAGCTCTGTGGAAAGAAACTGAAAGAGGACTCTGGTTAAGAGTCAGCAAAAAAATGAGGCCCTCGATCTAACAGTCTTGAAGAATAGAAGCCTACATGAGTGAGTTTGAAAGCAAATCTTGTTCTAGTCAGGTTTTCAAATGAGGCCTCGGACCTGCAGACAGCTTAGGGGTAACCTCACGTAAGAACTTAAGGGAGACGCATGCAGCTAAGCTAGGCCCAGATTGCTGTACTTTCAAATTACTTTGTAAAACAACAAACTATATAGATAAATACATACATATAAAGCATGCCAAAATGTTAGTTACTGGATCAAGGTAGTGGTTATATGGGTATTCATCATATTATTCTTTGAACTTTTATTTCTTTAAAGTTTTTCATTAAAAATATTGAGAAAAAATGGCATGAGTCAAACTTTAATGAATGGAATGTGAATCCTATTCTTAAAGAATATTGTCCTTACATTAGTTCATCATAGACAAACTCAGCAAACAGAAAAAATGTGACACAATCTAGATGTACATACCCTGTACATTCTATATAATGTACTTTTTTTGTATTCTGATTTTTCACTTAATATGATGGATGTCTGTCAGTATATAATCATATATTAGCATCAGTTTACTGGCTGCATGATACACCATTGCAGAGATGCCTTGCGATATATTTAACTAGTACTGTTGTTGCACTAAACATCTGTTGATATACATCTTTTACTCATGTGTCTGATTACTCGGAAGGGTTAAGATTCAGGCTGTGCAAAGGGCAGAAGTGGAATTATGAGCAGAGGTGGGAGATTGAAAAGGATAGGGGTATATGGGAAAAGTTCAATAGTTTACTTTGGGGCATAGGCCACTATAGGCAAGGAAGGTGAAAGGAGACATCTTATGATCATCCATGAATAAAAAAAGAGTTTGAGAAGACTTGCTCTCACTTAACCTTGGGCTATGTCAGGTACTGTTTGGAGCACTTTATCTTACTGTGTGAGAAAGATGTGTGACTTTCTAAAATTACAGGAACTATTGTCATTCCTATCTAAAGGCAAAGGAACTGTGACACGGGAAGTTAAATTGCTCATCTAGTGAGACATAAAGCCAGGATTCAAATGAATGCAGTCTGGCTCTAGACTGAGCGCTATTAACTTCACTTTGCAGATGCTGAGCTTAAAACCTGGGCCTTACTGATTTCAAAGCCTTAGACACTATAGTAAATGGTCGCAGTATAACTTAATATGGGTTTGATATTCCTTCCTTCATCCCAAAAAGCGTAAAATGCATTAGCTTAGACCATAAAAAACCTCGAAAGATTCCTTATTTCCAAAATACAAGAGGCATTTAACACTTCACATTGCTCCCTAAGACGGCCAGTGTGCCCGAACTTAACTGACCGGCAGCCAGGATTCAAGAGAGAAAAACCCGGACCACATCGCGATAATGAAATTCCAAAAGGCCCGCGAGCCTCCAAGCCGAAGTTTTCCGCCTCCCAGCCGGTTGCAGCCAGTTCAGCAACAGTTTTCCAGCCCAGGGCCGTGACGTCATCACAGGGACTGGCCCGTCCCTCTAGGATCCCTCTGCTTCTGCGCGGCTGAGTAACCGGCGAGTTGAGCTCTTAGCCCCACCCACTGCCCCGGAAGTTAATACAGAAGCCACACCTCTCTTCTCGGCCGGCAGGGGCGCAGCCATTTTAATTCATATCTGAGTGGGCGGTGGCGTTTCGTGTTGGCTGTCTGGCTCCGCTGGGCAGGGGTTAACTTTGTTGGTTTGGGGGTGGTTTTTAGTTTAATTTTTCTTTTCTAGCTTCGCATCGCGGGCCAGTTCGCACGTTCTAATAATCTGAGGCCATGTCAGGAGACGGAGCCACAGAGCAGGTGAGGAAGGAGAGTGGTGGGGCCTCGTGGCGACCTCTTTCTCCACGTCTCTGTTCGTCTTAGTACTCCAGCCATATTCGCTTGAGGGAGAGATCAGGGGTGTAATAAACTCGGAGAACCGGGTACAAAAAAATGGTGGGAATGGGGAGCAGTATCTGAGCTTTAAAATTATTTTTGGCTTCTCTGTTTTACGCGTTAATATGAACAAATATTTGATTTAGACAATAGCTAGGAAGCTATTTCGTTCAGTTTAGGTTCATGGGACTACTCTGGTTGGATGTCTTCCTTTGATACCGTTTTGATGTTTGGGTGGTTAGGAATTGATTATTTTAACATGCACTCGCTGTTTACCAAAAACTAGACAATATTCCTTTCGCCCCTTCACGGATATGTACAGTACTCAAATAGGTTACTAACTTGAGAAATAATTTGCGGTTAAACTAATCTGAGGAAATAGACTTTCCAGAGCGAACGAAAAAACAGTCTAGGAGTAGGGCATGGTTATGCTGAGTGAGATTTAGGAATTTTGTGGTTTCTCCCGCTTCCTTGTTTTCCCTCTCTTCTACATTTCATTATCGTTTTCCAGCAAGACAGATATTGCAGAATTCGGTAAATCGGAAATGAGAAGTCAGTTTTGGCCATTGTAAATAAAAGCATCTGTTTTAATACCGAGTTTAAGTGACGTTCAGATATTTCAAAATTCACATTTTAAGTAAATAATTTGGCGTGGGGGTTTTTTTGCCCTTTATTTAGAATTTTGTAGGAGGATATTTACTTTTTAGTTTGAAAGGCGAAACATTTTATGAAAGATGTTATTCAGTTTGTTTTTCTGGTATATTTAGGTAAATAGTTTTTAAAATGGAGGCTAGCTAGCCTACAGTCTCAGTTTCCTGAAATTTTTCATTGCCATAGCAACGAAATACACTTAGGTTTTCGTTTTTCAAGTCCCCAGCTTATAACCTAGAGGTTGACAGAGATGAGGCAAAATTGGAGCGTTCCTATTGAATAGTCTTGGTGACTGTAAATTTCATTTTTGTCAGGCAAGTTTGCCTAACTGAAGTTTGTGTTTGCTTGTCGACTGATTGCAGCCCTGAAATCTTTGCAGTGTTGGCATTGTATCTGATGGCCAAGACTGCAAAGTCTTAAAATTGTCTAAGGTCTGTTTACACCTACCTACCCTTTTTCTGTATTCATATTTCGTCATGTGAAAGTCGAGGAGGAATAATGCACTGAAATTTTGGAATTCTTTAATTCATCTAAAATTGTAAAGACACTGTAATTTTGCTATGACCTTCAATATTTCAGAACTCTGGTGTTTTAAATGGGGGAGATGTTGGTGAAATTTTACAGAAAAAAATTCTCACCCAAAATTTTATTGTGCAAAGTTTAGAACATAGAAATAAGTTAAAAGTGCAGTGAACACCCATAGTACAATTCTTCACTAAGAATCAACGATTGTTAAACGATTTGCTGTATTTGCTTTATTTCCATGCATATTTAGTTGAAAATAAGTCAACACATATTTCAGCCCCGAGTATTTCAGCATGCTCATTGTTCAGCATCATCTCCACATAATTCAGCAGTAATGCCCTTATATAACCATCATATCATTTTCCCACCTAAGAAAATTAATTTCTAAAATCCAGTCTATGTTCAGATTTGTCCAGTTGTCCCAAGAATGTTATTCATAGGTTTTTTTTAAAAATCAGAATCTAATCTAGGTTCACATTGCATCATTTGGCTATGTCTCTTGAATAGCCCCCCATTTATTTCTCCTCTAAGATGTTGTCTGTTTGAAGAATCCAGATAGTTTTATAACTTCTCATTTTCTAGGTTTGATTTTTGCATGTGCAAGTGTCATTTAACTTGTCCCTTCATCTTCTGTATTTCCTGAAAACTAAACTCAGCTTTGATAATATTTAGGTTAAATATTTTTGGGTAGAATACTTTATAACATTACATCAAAAGGTACCTCAAACTAGGTTGTCCCACTATTAGTGATGTTTGAAGTTTGATCACTTGGTTAGGGTGATGACTGCTGTATCCCTTATTATGAAGGATTATTTTCCCTTTGCGTGTAGTAATCTGTGGATTGATACTGTGTTCCTCAATAACCTTTTACCTAGTTATTAATTGATAATCTTTGAATAAATCAGTTATTACATTGGAGGTGGCAAATGGTCGGTTTTTAAAACTTCTGTTACTCTACTTGCTGGCTCATATTTTTCTGTAAAGAAAAACTTCCTTTTTTTCTTTGTCCTTTTCAAAGATTGAATATCACTGTGGATTTATGGGAAGACGTTTTTTGACATTTGATTACCAACAGAGTCATCCTTATATAGTCTTTAACTTTTAATGACACATTTCAAACATGCAAAAAAAAAGAATAATATGATGTTCCTATCATAGAGTTTGAACCCATGGCAAATCTTGTTTTTTCCATACTTTCACTTGCTCTTCTCACCTATTATTTAAAGCAAGTCCCAGATATTGTATTATTCAACTTTAAACGAAATGGTGATTTAAAAATATCTTAAAGAGTGACATAATTAAAAATTGAATCAGTTTGCTTTATGTATGAGTCAGTGAAAATTTAGAGCAAAAGAAGAATGCCTAAAATGACCTGAGATAATAGACAAGAAAAAGAGATTAAACAAAAGTGAAGAATCAAGAAAAAAATCAAAACTACTCTGAATCAGATTTGCTTTGGAAAGATGCCAAGGAATGGAATAGACAAAATCCTGCAAGCTTTTAGCATTGAAGCTCAAAAAATTTTTTTAAATAAATCCAATATCTTAAATTGCTAATCAAAAATATGGATGGTCATTTTTTTCCTGAATATCTGGATTTGTGTTCTTTGAAAGAGGGAAATGGTCGTAGACAACCAAAATCACTGGTAAGGTTTATTGTAAATATTTTTTACTCTTGTAAGGAAGTTCCATTTTGCATTTACAAGATATTTAAATGACTTTGCAGTGTTTGTGGGTATTCTTATGAAGCTTCATGTTTATAGTTTTTGCCAGTTTAATGGTGACAAAACCGTGTACATATAGATCTCCCCCTCCTACCCCACAATGAAAAAACATCTGGTTCCTATGCAGAATCATGGCTATATTTTTATCTTGTAGGTATTTTTTTAACTGCTAGATTCAACTTTTAATCTCATTCTTCTTTAGCTCTATTTTACCTTGTGCACTACTCTACAGCATTTAGTAGGCTATTGTTTATAGTTCCTCCACTGAGTTTGAGCTTGAGTTGAAGGGGTTGCCTTATTTATTCATGGTTGTATCTTAAAAACCTAGGAATACTGTTTTGATACTTAAAGGCGTTCAGTAAATGAATAGATGAATTTTGCACCAAGGTTATTTGTGATATGTTACGAAGTCTCAGAATTTAATCTTTTGGGAAAACAGATGCATAAATAATACAAAATAAAATATTTAGGGCATACGAGTGTATGGTTTCTAAAGTTTGTGGGATAAAAGGAGAGAGAAAAATGTCTTGGGCCAGGTCAGTTCATATGAACCTTTAAGTCCTTTCTAAAATGTTTACACTCTTGTCTTTTAGAAAAATAAGACTTCACTTTTTAAACAATATGTAGCCTATCCTAAAATTAGGAAGGCCCAAAATATAAACAAAATTTCCATCCTCACTTTGGAAAATTTTCATGACTTGAAGAAGCACAAATAAATTGCCAGTAGTCCTTAAACAAAGCAGGGGAATTCAGGGCCATAAATCAGTTTGTACTTTTGGTGAAAAGTAAGTTTGAGAAGATAGAGAAAATACAAAAAATGTTTTCTTATGTACTTGTTAATGAAGAAAGATGAAACACCAACAGTGTTGAAATTTGAAGCCTGATTTATTTTGTTGGGTAATTATGAGTACTTACTAGCAGTTAAGAGGTAACAACAGCGCCAGTTTTAAAGCCAAAATGGATGTGTTGGAGGCTGCTAATTGTTTATATCTGTTTTTAACAAAATCTTTCAATAATAGCTTTTCCTACTTTGACCCCTTCTATTTTTAAGTGGCAGGCAAATTTGATTTGATCTTTATTTCTAATATTTTTTGAGAAAACTGGGTGGTATATAAAATATTTGGCAATGATTGTTCCTGAGAGAGATTGATCTGATTACTGAACTATTGATTTTCCTTAGAGGTACAACAGAAAGGTACTGTGTTTGGAGAGATTGTATTCTTTCAGTATTAGGATTACAGGATTTTCAGGGGATACAGGAGTTGACTTTCTCGATAGACCTAGAACAGCAAGCTCTGTATTCAGATATTTGTACCTATTAAATGGATAATTGCCATTTGAGTCTTTGTTTTGCTGAATAGTTGGTAATGAATGATGTGAGAAATGATCTTAAAAGGAATTTGAGTTGGGCAATGTTAAAACTAATTTTGGATTAATGGATACTTTTAATAAGCACTAAATGTTGAGAAAACCAGAAGGGCAAAACTATGTACTAATTGACGTTTCACTTAGTTTATCTAGGGAATTAATATCTTGGCTATTGGTCTAAAGCCACATTTTTCAAATTCTAAAAGATTAAAGTTTTATATTTATAATTTGTAGCTATTTGTTTCCTAGGAGATGTATAAGCAAATTTAATAAGCAAGTATGATAAGTATAATTATTTGGACCAATAACCTTTAGCCCATTTTTTTTTTAAGTTTTTGGGTTGTTTGCATGCTTAGATTTTTAGTCTTTGGAAAGATCGAAGGGATTATATAAAGGGTACGTATTCAGGTTCATACACAAAAAATCATGTAGAGTTCTGTTCCACAGGACTATGCTGGCATCCAGTCCTATTGTCACCTGTCACATAAAATACTTTATTCTCTAGGCATATGAATTAGCTCAGTTACAACAGTACGTGCAGATAGTCTTGCATAGTGCTATCCCAGTCTTTTAATTTTGAGAAAAGTTAGCTATCAAGAGAGACTTAAGACTTCAAATATATAATATAAGTAGTATATGCACTTTTCTTAATGCTTTA